ACTGTCCTTTCCCCAGTATATACTCTTGGTTCTCTTGTCAAAGATCATTTGGTTATCTATGCAAGGCTTTATTGGTGGGCTCTCAATTCTGTTCCATTGGTCTATATGTCTGTCTTTATGCCAGTACCACACTGTCTTAATTACTATTGCTTTGTAGTATGCTTTGAAATCAGGAAGTGTGGGTCCTCCAACTTTGTTCTTTTTTTTTTCTTTTTTTTTTGTGGTATGCGGGCCTCTCACTGTTGTGGCCTCTCTCATTGTGGAGCACAGGCTCCAGATGCGCAGGCTCAGTGGCCATGGCTCACGGACCTAGCCGCTCTGCAGCACGTGGGATCTTCCCAGACCGGGGCATGAACCTGTTCCCCTGCATTGGCAGGTGGACTCTCAACCACTGCGCCACCAGGGAAGCACCTTCTTGTCTTTAATTATAGTCTCCATGCAGTTCTAAAATTACTTAGGTCAACAAGTTTTCTCCCCACTGATTTGCTAATATTCTGCTAAGGAGTTTTGTATCTATGCTTGTGAGACACGTTAATATGTAATTTTTTTTCTTTATATTATCGGAGTCAGGCTTATTTGCTTATTTGTTCATTTATTTATGATTGGGTTTATGCCTTATAAAAATAGTTGGGAAGTATTTCTTCTTTCTCTATTTTCTGAAAAAGTTCATAAGTTTGATATTATTACTTTTAAAAATTTTTGATAGAATCTACCATAGTCCAGAGGTTTTTTTGTCTGGGAAAGTTTCTAATTTCCTTTAAAGATGAAGTGCTGTTCAGATTTAAATTTCTTTTTGTATTAGTCTTGTATCTGTGGAGTTAATTTTTCAGTTTCACTGGAATAAAGGTGTTTCTGCTATTTCTTTAATAGCCTTTCAATGTCTGTAGGATCTGTTGTGTTGTCTCTTCTTTTATTTCTTATGTTTGTAATTTGTGTTTTGTTTTACCTTTTTAAAAATTATTTTAGCCAGTTATTTATTAATTTTCTTAAACTTTAAAGAAAGCCAGGTTTTGGCTTTGTTGTTTTTCTGTTTGTGTTTTTGTTTTCTTGACTTCTGTTCTTATCTTTATTATTTCCTTCTTCCTACTTACTTTGGGCTTAATTTATACTTTCTTTATACCTTAAAGTGAAAATTAGATGCTTGATTATCTACCTTTTTCTTCTAATATAAACATTTAAGTCTTTTAAGCTATGAATGCTTATATTAAATCATTATATTTAAAGGGTGGTTATATTCCTCAAATTTTGGCATATTGTGTTTCATTACCATTCATTTTGAAATATTTCTGGATTTTTGTTGTGTTTTCTTCTTTGACCATGGGTAGTTTAGAAATGTGTTGCTTAATTTCCAAATATTTGGAGATTTTTCCAGATATACTAGTGTTATTTATTTCTAATTTAACTCTTTTTCTTTTCTTTCTTTCTTTCTTTTTTTTTTTTCTAGCCCTTTAAAGATTATTAAACTCATTTTAGGTCCCAGAAGATGATCTTTCTTGGTGAGAAAGTTCTATGTGAACTAGAAAAAAAATAAATGTGTATTCTATATGTGTTTTGTGAACTACTCTGTAAATGACAGTTAGGTCTAGTTGGCTTTTGGTGTTGTTAAATTTTTCTATAGTTTTATTCATTTTTGCTTGCTTACTTTATCAGTTTCTGAGAAATGTATATTAAGATTTCCAACTATCACTGGGATTTTTTCTGTTTTTTTCTTTTAGTACTCTCAATTTTTACTTCTGCATATTTTTATTTAAATAGCATTCTATTCATGTTTTGTGGACTCAATGTCTTATCTCTCTGCTCATATCAACTGTATTTCTCTTTTAGTTTTCTTCAGCATCCCACATTTTATCTTTCTCTGTAATTTTTTTCCAGTTTGTAGGTTTTGTTTAATGTCTTTCATATCTTCTCCAAGGTCTTGACTTAAGAGTGAGGTACAAAAATGCTAGTTGGAACATGTATGTTTATGGGTGGGACTTCACTGTAGCATGATAGAGTGGGGATCAGGCTGTTTTGTTGGGGACCAGCACATGCTAGTATTTGTGGCAGAATTAATCTGTTCTCTTGGTTTAGGGTTATGATTCTCCTTCTCCTGGGAACAAAGTATTTCAAACAGGTTGGAGTTCTAAAACTTTGGAATGACACTTTCACTTAAACCCTATTTTTCAGCACAGCACACGCTTACCATTTTCAGTAGTATCTTGCATGTATTTTTTGTATTTAAATATTTTCTGAACATTTTCTGTAGATGTATTCTCTGGATGGACACCAGGGTGAGTGAGGAATAGTAGCCTGGCTGAGGAAGCCTCTGGTTTCTAGGGGAGGGGTGTTGATTAAAACTTATAATGACCATCAGTGAATCTCCTTTTCACCCAAGTCCCTTTACCAGCATTTAAGTGTTACTAGTGACTTCAATTTCTGAGCCTTTCCAGATTTTTGTAATGGAAATGTGGACTAAGAACACTGCCTACCACATCAATAAACAAAGGATGCTGCAGTCATCAGCAATTGCAGCCATCCCCAACAGTGAACCCTGAGGGAGTTCAGGATGGAAACCAAGAATGCCTGCCATTTGGCAGTCAAGTGCTGCAGCACCCCACCCCACCCACACCCCTCTCCCCTCAGTGTACCCTGAGGAGACTCAGGATGAGAAAACACAGGATACTGGCCCCAGACAGCTGAGGTGCATATCAAAGGGATGGTTTTAGTGAGCCTGGACTCCTTGTATCTTCCCATACACAGAAAAGCGCTAACTTCCTTAACTTGAGACGTCTGGTTTTCTTTTATTAACAGTAATCCTTTGCTCAGATTACCTGGTGTTGTTACAGAAACTCCTGTATATCCTGGCATCCCCCCTTCCTCCTCAGAACAGTTTTCTCAGCATTATCTGAGAGGCTGTCTCCCGGGCTCGAAGTCCTAAGAATGTCTGCCGAATAGGTTGTGCATTTTTTTCAGTTGACAGAAACCAGTTTGTTTCTTGTTGAATTGCCTCCTAGCAGGCTTACATTTTAGCTTTTTTAAGTTTTGTTAACTCAGTTACTATGCATTGTCCATTTAATTTCTCTCATCTGAAATTTTGTTGATGTCTTTCTTCATCTGTCATATTTTTTTCTATTCTTTTTATCCTATGTTCTTGCCTTTTCAATTTATTTATTGTCATTAAAGTGGTGTTTCCAGAGCGATGAAAGATAAGTTCATATATAGCCATGTTTTAACTGGAAGTCTTATTGCAGTGGGTACATATTTTATATTTTACTGAATACTGTGAAATTGCTTTTCAAAGTGCTGCATTGATTTATGTTTGTTTTGTGTTGGTCTCAGCCTATCCATACTGATGCTATTTTCTAGAAATGGCAGAGGGCACTCCTCTGGGCTACTTGTGGCAAGCCTCACAGACATTTCCCCAACTGAAGCCAATGCTGAGGCTGGACCAGCCCTTTTGGTTCTTATGATTGCAAGACACACCTCAGCAACTACTATCAGGGAACTTAGAAGAAACAAGGTTTATTACTCACATGTCCTGGAGGGTACAAGCCATGTCCTGCACCACTTAGCAATGTTCAGGGGGCAGGGGGAGAGGTGGGAGAGAGAGAGAGAGAGAATATGAATGTGTGAGCCTGGTGTTGCTGGTGAATTTAAGTTTCTTTCTTTGTAGCGAAGGAATTCGGAGATGAAGTGATAGGTAAGAATCAGATTTATTTAGAGAGAAACACACTCCACAGACAGAGTGTGGGCCATCTCGGAAGGCAAGAGTCAAGAGGCCTTGAAAGATGGCATGGTTAATTTTTATGGGGTGGGTAATTTCATAGGCTAATGAATGGGATTATTCCAACTATTTTGGGAAAGAGGCGGGGATTTCCAGGAATTGGGCCACCACACACTTTTTGACCTTTTATGGTTGGCCTCAGTCAGAACTGTCATGGCACTGGTGGGTATGTCATTTAGCAAGCTAATGTATTACAATAAGAGTATAATGAGGCTCTAGGTCCACTGGAAGTTGAATCTTCTGCCATCCTGGACCCAGTTGGTTCTAACCAGTCTTTGTCATGTACTATGGCTATATCATTCTTTTAAAGGTTGTGCCCTGCCCCCTTCCCTCCTGTTTCACTGGTGCTCTCTCTGCCTTTATTGGGGTTGATGGTGGGGTGTTGGGGTTTTGAGGGTTCACTCTTTATTGGTGAAATTAAAACAGAAGAGCAGGAATTAAAGCACAGGAAGGGAAAAGCAAGCAGTGGGTCAGTCAGTTATCTAGGTCCACCAGAGCTTTCCAATGAGGAAGACTCATGCGTGGGGCAGCCTGGCTCTTTATCTAGTTGTGTAGATGGCAATGTGTTCTTTCCAAGATGGATGTCTTTGAAATGGATGCCTCAGCAGTCAAAAGCTTAATGTCAGGCACTTACATTATAATCAAAAAAGCTAATTGTCAGGTACCTACACTACAGGGTTCCAACTAATAGTTGACATTTCCCCAGAGCCACTTAATAAGTCATCTGTTCTTTCCCCAGGGAAGCTACCTCTATTTCTATTGTGTTCACTTACCCATTCAACAGGTAGTCACTGCTTCAGTAGTATAAGAATGACCTAGAATAGTGCCCTAAAGATAAGAGTGCTCAAAAACAGACTGACAAGGTTTTTGTAATTCTAAAGTTTGCAGTCTAGGGCCATCCTTTAGCTCTCTACTTAGACACATCCCCTGGGCAGTTTTCCCTGATTACACCCTCCCCACACATCCAGGCCTACCAATGCGATGGTGGTACGAGGGAGAGAATTACCAAATCTATTATTCTGCACTGCATGATTTTAATTATATGTGTATCTTGCCTGCTAGGCTCTTAGCTCTCTAGCACAGGGATTAGGTCTTTTTGGCCTTTATCTCCCAAATCCAGCATATGCTTGTAGGTCAAAAATTGTTCAAGAAACTTTGTCATAAAAAACCCAAAATTTGATTTCAAAAGGGCTTTAGAGGTAATAGAGAATGACTCAAACAAAATTAAACTGTATTTTAAATTTATTTTAATACTCAGTTTCAGATATATTATGACATTTAATTACTTATTTGCTTTAATTTAAGTTAGAGCCATAATGTGCAAAAAAAGAAAGGAAATGTACTTAGCTAGAACAAATATTCAGGATAAAAAAGTAGATACAGAAATATAGTGCTAATCATATACTGCATAGACTATCTTGTAAAAAAATGCGTGTATGTGTACACACACACACACACACACACACACACAGCAATGAACTAAATTTGGCAATGGGGTAAAATTTGATTCCTCTATAATAATTTGAAGAGAAGATTTAATTGATTTCAGCTATGACATGGTTATTCACACACACATACCCCCAAGAGAGGCAGTTTTCCAAGTAGCTTTGGGAAAATTAAAAATTTTCTGGTTCAAAACTTTTTAAAGCCAATTCAATGAGCTTCATCAAAATATCTAATATTGGCCCTGCTCACAAGCACTTAGTGATAAGTGTTACAGAAATACAACAAAGTAATGGGAAACCAACTTAAGATTGTCTTATTCATTGTATACTTATTTGTTGTCTGTTTCTCCCACTTAATTCACTGCTATTATTCTAATATCTACAAGAATGCATAGTAATGAATACATATGCAGTACACAAACAAGTGCTTATGACAAGATATTATTAAATATGAGGAAGATATAAACTGATCCAGAATGGAAGTTATTTAGTCAAATGTAATATCTTGAATGAATAGATGCTATAATCAGATAAAGGTAAAATTCCACTACTATATTGAGCCTAGGCAAGCGACACTTTACAACTGAAAATGAAATAATGGTTGAAAAGGGATTAAAACTCTTTGGAATTTAGGCATGCCAAGCCCAGATCACTGGACTTTCAATTATAGATTCAATGACCATCTAGACACTAAACAGAAAAATTGTGTATGAAGACCTTGGTTCCAGCCACAAGTATGTCACTCTAAGATTTTGGCCAAGGAGACATAGTTTCCTCAATTATAAAATGGGTTATGAATACCTGCCCTGCCTTCTTTACAGAATTGTTGTAAAAATCAAGTACAATTGCCATTTATATATTCTTATTCTTTAGTAATCAATTACAAGCAAAATGTCCTTATTACAATCAACACTGAAAATTAGAATGTCACTGTGGCAGACATGGAGGTGGGCCCCTTGAATCTGTCTTGAAATAAGAACATGCTGATCAAAAAGTTTTTTGTCGGCCTGCAGCTAATAGCACCTTCTGGGTCTCCCAGAGCATGTGAAGGTCATGTTTTCCTGGGCAGCCTCTGGCAATGACTTGGCATAATGGTGACTAAGACCTGGCCATTTCTGCACAGCACGGGGCACTCTCCTCTGTGGGCAGTCTTTGCTCTGGATCTCACCAATGGGCTAGCCAAGCCTCTCCCAGAGCTGCATCTCAGTCTGATGCTTTTCCTGCCCATTCCTCTCTCCTTCCCTGTTCCTCTCACAGGTGTCTCTCCTGTCTATTCCTATTCCATCTTCCCTTGATCTTTCTTAGGCATTGCCTCCAATAAATATTAGCACTTGTAACTCTTGTCTTGGCATCTGAGTTCCAGAAGACTCAACTAACGTGGCCCCCCCAAATTGTCACTATTATGAATGTTATATTTCTTTCCAGAGATTTTCATATATATAAGCATTGTGAGCATTTTAAGATGGCTCTACTTCTTTTTCCTTTATCATCATCTCATGCACTTATGAATAATAGGTGATAAAGCATTTTTTAAAATGTAAGCCTCATACAGTGCTAACCACCACCTGATGTTCATGGACTTTAACAACAACAGTGCCTGAGGAAACTCTGAAACATTTCTTGCGAACACAGCATTGAATGGCATGGCCCCGGTGAGAAGTGCAGCAGAGTCATCTGTAATCTTTCAATAACTTTTTAGGGTGAGGGTCATATTCTTTCTGCCCTCAAGCCTGTGTCCTCTCTGCAGAGTCTGTTTCTATGCTGGTCCTGGGCTTCATTTGTATTGTTTTCATTGATATCTCTTGCCTTCTCATTCTTTCTGGCTTTACTTCTGCATTAAAGCTACAATTACATAAATACTCCATATATTTCACATGTAGGCTTTGGAAACATTTGAAATCATTGGGTACTATTAATTTCCATCAGCACTTTTTTGTTTTTAAACTTTACACCACTACAAGAGTTTGTTTATTTATATATTTTAACGTGGGTAAATCGGCATTTTCAAATTGTTTCTCTCTGTCTTTTTTAAATTTAACTTTTCAGCTTGATTATAAAATTCCCTAGGGCAGAGAATGTACCGGGGAAGATATGCTTGGATGAAACTAGGCACATGGATAAAAATCTGGGATCTCTTCTTATATTGAGTAAGATCAATGACGTCTTTGAGCCTGTTTCCTCATCTGTGTTGTGAAACAGGAAGAAAATGTAATCCTCTTAGCTTTGAGTGGGGACAGCATCATGACATGTGTCAAGTTCCTGCAAGATACTAGCACTAATTCGAGGACAGTTCTTTTCCTTTGAATGGAAGTCCACAAATGGAATTAAAAATTTATACTTTCACTCAGACTTAAGCTTCCTCCCTTTCTATGAATTTGCTAATTCCACTGGGCTTAAAGCTACTCTAAACAGAGTAGGCTGGAGATGGTCCTATGGCCATTTCACACCATACTAAAAATATTTCTGATTTCTATCTTTCAAGTGGTGTTCACAAGTGATTTGTTTTTCCATCCCACACCCTTCCCTAAAATTGAATTTCCAGAATTACAAATAAAATAGAGCTAACATTCACCAACATCTTTAGCATAAGGAATCATGAAAACTTTGTAAATGCACAAGTCCAAACAATTTTGAAATAAAGAAAGGCAGCACCGAGTGTTATAAAGATCACAGATTTGGGACTCTTACCTAGACTTGTCAGTTGCCAGCTGCAAACATTGAAGCAATAGCTTCCTGTAACCTTTGCTGCTCATCTGTAACATGAGCATAAGGACCGTGTTTTTGTTTTTTTCTTTAGAAGATGTTTTTTAAAAGCCAGTTTTTATTTTTTCATCTTATAAATATTTCTTCTGCAATTAGAGCTTTCAAAACCACAATTGATTTTCCAATTTCCATGATAGAATGTTTTTCTTTTCTACAGAATCAGAGAAGTAATCCCTTGAAACCACAGAAAATAATCTTTTGAAATAAAGGAAAAAAATGATAGAGGCATTGGATCCACTGAACTGAAGATGAAACAAAGACCAGGCTACATAAATGAGAAGTGTCTGTTGAGAGGGAGGGGCTGAGTCAGGTAACACTGTTCCCTGTGGATCCCAGTTTTATCCTTCCCGTCAATGAGTATAATAGGAAAATACTTGTAGTGTTCGATGATGTCTTCCACTGAGTCAAACTTCTGAAACACAGAAGAGAAAGTTAATGAAAATTTAGGTACCTTTGTGTCTGTCGATTAAAGTACAGCCTAACATGCTTCGTTTTATTTAGGGAAGAGGTTAACTCATTTAATGTTTTTTAGATTGTAAAGGGGTATCAGAAAACGTTTTTATGTTTTTTTTTTTAATGGATGTGACAAAGAAGCCCTTGAAGGATCAGTGATAAGATTAAGGTAACGAAGGTGACCAAAAGTGAGCCCTCCGCAGCTCTCGAAACTTCCCACCCACGGAATGTTCACCAGAATCAGGTTACACTGGACAAGCTCCACTCTGTGGTTACATGTTCCTACCGTAAGCAGTTCGAATGGGTTAATTACACAGCAGTCAGCCACAGAGAATCCCTGGTGCCTCCCTTACCTTGTCCCCAACTGTGACATACTAAAATCTAGAAGATCAGGCTAATTCACTTCGTAAATTAATGGGAAAGGTCTGCAGTGAAATCTCTCTCCTGTACACCCCTCTTGTTCTAAAGCATTCTAGACTAATCAGAAAGAACACTGATGGGCTTCCCTGTGGTGCAGTGGTTAAGAATCTGCCTGCCAATGCAGAGGACACGGGTTTGAGCCCTGGTCCGGGAAGATCCCACATGCCACAGAGCAACTAGGCCCGTGCGCCACAACTACTGAGCCTGCACTCTAGAGCCCGCGAGCCACAACTACTGAGCCTGTGCCCTAGAGCCTGTGTGCCACAACTACTGAGCCTGCACTCTAGAGCCCGTGAGCCACAACTACTGAAGCCTGCACGCCTAGAGCCTCTGCTCCGCAACAAGAGGAGCCCCCGCAGTGAGAAGCCCTCACACAGCAGCGAAGAGGAGGCCCCGCTCACCCCAACTAGAGAAAGCCGGCATGCAGAAACGAAGACCCAACACAGCCAAAAATAAAATAAATTAATAAAAAAAAAAAGGAAAGAATACTGATGACCACAGGGCTCCTGGTAGTTCTTGGACAACTTAGGTTCCTTCCCTGGGCTTCTTGTGAAATAATGAGGTGACAGTGAATCATTACACTTTTATGTTTCTAGAGATGTACAGATAAAGTGCTGGGGTGATTTAATGGAAAGTAAGATGATTTCAAGTGTAGGGGAATCAGGAAGTGCTTTGTGGAAGATACAGACTTGAAATGGGCCACACATTCTGCGTGAGCCAAGTGGACAAAGTGGGTTTAAAGATCCTAAGAGCAGAGGAAGACGAGTGTGCAGGTGTTGAGAACACGTGGGCACAGATAGGAATTCTGATGAGTTTGGCTGAGTTCTTGAAAGGGGCTATTTGGAGATGATCAGGAAGAAAGAGCTTGCACGACCTGCCTTTTGTAACTTAGGGCAACACTGTGAAGTGAACAGGGAGGGAAGAGCGGACCTTCCCTGAAGAGCCAAGGGAACTGCAGCTCAGAGTGAAGACTGGCTTGCTTCACTTGTTACACAGCCAGAGGGCAGGACCAGGAATGCAATCTGGTTTTTCTGGACGTGTATCAGTTTCTTCCCTGATGCAGCTTTGCTTGTGGCTTGTGAACCCACTGTTCCAACAGAGCAGTGTCCAGATGATGCAGCCTGAAGGAGGGAGCTGCATCGGGGACGACTTTGATTCTCTTTAGTTTGTACATCCTCCCTCTGCCCAGCACAGAAACGTTTGCAAGCCTGAGGGATACTCAAGAGGGAATGAGATTGTCAAGGTCCGTGTCCTCATGGGGATTCATGCATTGCATTCAGGCGGGGGCAGACAGAAAGTAATTCCCTATCCAGATAGATCATTTCATTTAGGGTTAATTTGCTGTGGAAATAATCAACCTGGGGCTTGAGAACCTCACACAGTCCTCCCGGGGCCTTCCTGATATTGACCAGTCCCTGCATCCATTCCATTCCTGTTCTTCTTGGGAACTGAGTCAACAAACCTCCGCCCACACCCTTAAGCTCATTGAGTTGGTTTGTCTTTTCATCTGAAAAGAGTTCTGATTAAATCTGTAAGTAACTTGCCCCTCTGAGCCCGATACTGGATCTGTGGCAGAGTTTTCAATGAGATAACCTATTTGACCACCCCTAGTAAGTACACAATCAATACTAGTCTCTATCTGATGCTAAGGTAAGGTGGTTGTCCAGCAGGGACAGTAATTGTTCTGCTACAGTAGTTGTAAGTGGAGGGCTGTGGAGCCCAAATGCCTGAGTTCCAAGCAAGGCTTTCCCACCCACTAGCGGTGTGTCCTTGGGCAAGTTTCTTACACTCTCTGTCTCAGTTTCTCTGTCTAGGAACAGTGATGGTAATATTAGGACCTACCTCTGAGGGTCATTGTGAGGGTTCATTGAGTTGACATACACAGCATTTAGAAGGGAGCTCTTTCTGCAGTGACTGCTCAGTAAATGTCAGTCATTGCTATGACCTCCTCCCTTCCAAGTTTGCCAAGAACATGATGAAAGAGCCATGAAATCACTGTAGAAGTTTATAGACTCTCATTGTAAGCCTTTAGGAAGAAAGGAAGGACATTTTTGTATTTCATTTCTAGTCATAAATTAAGGACAGAATTTTCTTTCTCTTTCTTCATACTTGAAACAAAAAATAATTTATGAAAAGAGATTTTCCATGCAGAACTCTTCTACAAAATTGGGTAACCCACATGGCACAAAGGAAATTCTCTATCCTGGGATTAATCTTTAGAGGGAAAAAGATTAATCTTGCTTTATAATCTCAGTCCTGTTTTCTTTAGGATGGTCCCAAAATAGTGAACTCAATACTAATTATTTACAGTTACTGCAGGGATGATATTTTATATGAAAGTGTAATTTTAACAAGTAGTAGGAAGCAAGCAAGGAAGGAATAAATAAGTTATTCTGTCATTTCTTATTACTGACTTCTAGTGATAGGCTAACAACTGGTATATTATCCTAAAGATTATTTTTAAAAAGATTATAATTAAGCTCTTACTTTTATATTAAATTCCTTTTTTCAGGAGGACAGCAAATACCATCCTAATATTAGATCTTAAAATTTGTTTAAACCTTTTGTGATTGCCCTAAATACCAATGATAGGCAATGTTTCACTGCCAGAAAGCTTAATCAATCTGCTTGGATACACACATGGGAGTGAAAGAAGAAAAGAGAAAAAGAGGAAGATAGAGAGGTGCAAAGACAGAAGGAGGAGAGAGAAGCAGACTAGGGAAGTGAGAAATAAACTCATTGGTTAATTGTCTCTGCTTCCTAGTCTTTGAACTTGAAGTTATCAACTGAGGGGGCTATGTTCTACTTTGGTGGGAATAGGACTGAGTTGACGC